TATATACAGAAGGGAAAATACATAGAAATTTTGCTTTAAATTAAAATAAAGTATGAACCAATAAGTATATTTACATCCTTTTGTCATGTATATTTCCTGTATCAGTCCTATGTAGTGTTCTGTCCATATCTATATATATATATATATATATATATATATATATATATATATATATATATATATATGGCCAGGTGGTCCTTATGTAGAGGTGGTCACTTGTACAAGTTTGACTTGAAAGTGTTGACAATATAATGTTAAAACAATAAACTTAATACATTTCTCTATATAAGTACTAGATTAGTACTGAGCTTTAGGCAACTCCTGTAGTTAGATGTGCAACGATTGAATGTAACAAGTCGTTCGGTGTGATATAGCTAGATGCCTCCGCGCCGCGTGCCTGCAAAGCTGGTGTGTTACATCGAAGGCAGGTACTACCGCCTATACATATAGATATGTAAATATTGTACATCTACATATGTAAATATTGTACGTTTGGGAATGCATTTATAACAGCGACACCTGTGCTGCAATGCAATGTGCCCTGAGAAGGTGACAGACGGTCACCGAAATGTTGGCTGAATAAAAGACTTGGTTGTGTAAACGAGAGTGTCTTTACTCAGTGTCTTAACAACCTGATGAAACTATTCACGGATATACAGAAATATAATCAGTAACATACAAATGCAACTAGCAGTGTTGCAGTCATGGATCATTGCAAGATTTTATGACTGAGCCCTGGTTTTCTTGATATGAGAATATTTTATTTACTATAATTATTATTCCTTGTGTTTCACCCCCTCCCACTAAATGTTAGTTTGCTTTCCCACGTGCAATAATAAAATACTTTTTTTACATTACGACTGCAGACATAAGCACACAGTAAGCTTGTAATCTGTGCTTTTGAAAGTTCATGATTGCGTTTGTGTACTGATCTTTCCATGATGCTTTGAGCATCAAGACATAGGATCATTAGGTGTTTACATGAAAATTGTCTCATCGTTTCAAAGCACAATATTTTTTTCACAGACTTGCAATTATGTTTATCAAAGCAATGCGTGGGTACTGGGCATGTCTTTAACTTTGAAGAAAAAAATGATTACGTTTTCGATTACTTCAAAATGTGGCGCTGACTGCCTTGCTTAGTTTTCATCCCTTAGTTTTCCAAGTTTCGTAGACTAGTTAGTAAAAAATATGCATTACTTCCGTGCTGGTCGTACGATCAATCAAACTTTGCACAACAATTGTAGCAGGTTACGTAAAGCTGGCTTTAGTCTCTGC